GTATTCCTTCAGAGATTGACAGGGTTAGGGTACTATACCAGTATTCCTTCAGAGATTGACAGGGTTAGGGTGTTATACCAGTAATCCTTCAGAGATTGACAGGGTTAGGGTGTTATACCAGTAATCCTTCAGAGATTGACAGGGTTAGGGTGTTATACCAGTAATCCTTCAGAGATTGACAGGGTTAGGGTGTTATACCAGTAATCCTTCAGAGATTGACAGGGTTAGGGTGTTATACCAGTAATCCTTCAGAGATTGACAGGGTTAGGGTGTTATACCAGTAATCCTTCAGAGATTGACAGGGTTAGGGTACTATACCAGTAATCCTTCAGAGATTGACAGGGTTAGGGTGTTATACCAGTAATCCTTCAGAGATTGACAGGGTTAGGGTGTTATACCAGTAATCCTTCAGAGATTGACAGGGTTAGGGTGTTCTACCAGTAATCCTTCAGAGATTGACAGGGTTAGGGTGTTATACCAGTAATCCTTCAGAGATTGACAGGGTTAGGGTGTTATACCAGTAATCCTTCAGAGATTGACAGGGTTAGGGTGTTATACCAGTAATCCTTCAGAGATTGACAGGGTTAGGGTGTTATACCAGTAATCCTTCAGAGATTGACAGGGTTAGGGTACTATACCAGTAATCCTTCAGAGATTGACAGGGTTAGGGTACTATACCAGTAATCCTTCAGAGATTGACAGGGTTAGGGTGTTATACCAGTATTCCTTCAGAGATTGACAGGGTTAGGGTGTTATAACCCCATCTGTTGCATCAGCTTCCAAGTTGTCCATGAACCATCTGTGAGTGAATACCAACATCACAATCCAACAACAGTATACTGTAACACAATGTTAGTGCCCTGTGCTATTGGTTTAGGTCTAGAATGTCACATTAGAATATTAGAATGTGTAGATGTTTTTATAACTATATAATGATAAATGGTCTCTGATCAAATATCTTCCTTAGTGTAAGATCCTCTTGTCTTATACCAATGTTTTCTTTATGTCCTGTAGTAGGCTGAACCACACTACTCATATAGATATCCTTACTTTATGTAGAACTATATGCTAGCTGGCATCAATCAACTGTTTAATGTGGTAGGACGTATGTAAACATTATTTCAAACTTGCCAACAAATTTAATTGATAATCCTGTTTCAAGGAAATTTGAGTTATGTTTCATGAGTCACGTACATATCACTCTCCTATTTCTGATGGATCTGAGTCATTTTTTCTGTTTCTAACAGATAGCAGTTGTAATCCTGTTTCCAGAAGGTATGAGTTTATTTTCCTGTTACCAACAGATAGTGATTTTTCCAATTCCAACAAATGAGTCATTATCCTGTTTCCAACAGAAACGAGTCAATGTCCTGTTTCCAACAGAAGAGTCATTATCCTTTTCAAACAAATATGAGTCATTTTCCTGTTTCCTGCAAATTACTCATTATCCTGTTTCAGATACTGGTTGGAGTCAATTACCTGTTTCCAACTCATGCGAGTTATTGTGCTGTTTACTAAGATGAGTCACTGTTAAGTTTCCTGGTTAGGCAGACTGCAGTTCTGACAGTTCCAGACAGTTCCAGACAGTTCTGACAGTTCCAGACAGTTCCAGACAGTTCTGACAGTTCCAGACAGTTCCAGACAGACAGTTCCAGACAGTTCTGACAGTTCCAGACAGTTCCAGACAGTTCCAAACAGTTCTGACAGTTCCAGACAGTTCCAGACAGTTCTGACAATTCCAGACAGTTCCAGACAGTTCCACACAGTTCTGACAGTTCCAGACAGTTCCAGACAGTTCCAGACAGTTCTGACAGTTCCAGACAGTTCTGACAGTTCCTGACGGTTTTGACAGTTCTAGACAGTTCCAGACAGTTCTGACAGTTCCAGACAGTTCCAGACAGATCTGACAGTTCCAGACAGATCCAAACAGTTCTGACAGTTCCAGACAGTTCTGACAGTTCCAGACGGTTCTGACAGTTCTAGACAGTTCCACACAGTTCTGACAGTTCCAGACAGTTCCAGACAGTTCTGACAGTTCCAGACAGTTCCAGACAGTTCCACACAGTTCTGACAGTTTCAGACAGTTCTGACAGTTCCAGACAGTTCCAGACAGTTCCACACAGTTCTGACAGTTTCAGACAGTTCTGACAGTTTCAGACAGTTCTGACAGTTCCAGACAGTTCTGACAGTTCCAGACAGTTCCAGACAGTTCCACACAGTTCTGACAGTTTCAGACAGTTCTGACAGTTTCAGACAGTTCTGACAGTTCCAGACAGTTCTGACAGTTCCAGACAGTTCTGAAAGTTCCAGACAGTTCCACACAGTTCCACACAGTTCCACACAGTTCTGACAGTTCCAGACAGTTCCAGACAGTTCCACACAGTTCTGACAGTTCTGATAGTTCCAGACAGTTCCAGACAGTTCTGACAGTTCCAGACAGTTCTGTCTTCAATGAATGTACTTGTTTCTGATCATATTTGAAGTTTGAAGGTCAAAATATTAATATTATCAATCCTAAGATTGAACAATGCTGCATATTTGTCATTTTAGTTGGTGTTCTGTTGGTTATGTCTCAATTCAAGGAACTTTAACAACGATCCTTGCTGTTGATAGGATGTAAAATCAATAATAATCAAATATGACCCACCAAATTTATCATACGTATATTTATGTAATTCTTACTCTACATCAAATAGCCTGGTAATGTTTACCTTACTAATACAGTATGTTTATAAGATTCTGTATATATTTACCAGTTATACAAATTAAATATGCTCATGAGCTGCAGTAGGTTATAGGATACCATAATTAATGTCAACTAATCGTATAGAAATTTTTAAAATTTCATTGTGTTTACAATGTTGATTGGCTGCAAACATTTACCAGATAAATAATGTCAACTTTTGACATTTTATCCTCAGCAGGAATTTCCAAATGTCAGGAATCCTATAGCGTCATTTAACTCGCGCACGGAGTCTTGCCTACAAAGGTTACGTCAATTTATATGTCTCAGATTGATTGAGGATATTATGTCGCTAAAGACCACAAGAAACAACTACACTGCAATCATAATAAAACTTCAGTTTCTTTGTGAAGATTTCATCAACATGATGTCCTCTGAGAATTTAATTGATTAGAAAAGTATAAGGTATTCATTGGACCAATCAAGCAGTTGCGTTTCATTTAGCCCATTATCCTGCACAGCCTCTGATCATTACACAAAGTTTTACGTAATCAGCTCATGGTATCTCGTATTCGGCAGATCACAAAGTTCATATCATTGCACCAGTCTTTATGTAATCAGCTAGTATATCTTAGTGTTTTGTGAACCTGTCTGTTCATCTGTTGACATAGATGAAGGGTTCAGTTAACGACTATTCAGATATCTATTTAGGGTCACAAGAACAGGAATTTCATCAGAGAAACAACAATTATCAAACCCTATACAGATGTCATTATCAGGATCAAAGCCAGGCCAACTAATGATATGTGATATTTGGTGTGTCCTTAGTCTATACACCAAACCCTTTGGTTGCCCTTTGAGTCATGAATCTAAAAAGAATGCAAACTCTACATCATGTCTCTTCTATCAAAATGCAGGCGATAACAACTGCACTGGATTGTTTTACTTGGTGAAATTCTTGTCAAGAACCCTGCGATTTCTTTATGAGTTGTTGAGGAAACAGTAGTTCTTGCTTTGATAACTGTTATCAGTCTGGAAGGTAATGGAGGGTTCTTGTAGTTATCCGTTCCGTGCAGTTTGATTTTCAAATTGTAAACAATACATCATCCAAAAACTTATAAAGATCAAATTCAGATTTCAAAATGTACACTACAATAATATTTAATAGGCAATATTTTTGGTCTCTTGATTGGTTCTTGCCAAATATATGTCATGTAGATAAATGTATGTAAAACATTAGAAATGACAAATTATTCTTGTCTTCCAGCTTTCTTGTTAACTAACATTTAGTTGATAACTTATGTCTGGTGCAACAAATATTTTGTATCAGAACTATACTTAGTAAGGAGAGGTGATTTTTGTGAATTTAAGCTAAGGTTATAACAGCATTAAGCGAAGTGTTTCAAGGAAATGATTGCTGGTATATCATTTATGGAAGTTGTTCATTTCAGAGAATGTTGACTCAGCTTTAGCTGAACGGTTGATAGAAACAGAATATATCTAAAGTTTCAGTTAATAAATATCATTCTTTCGGCTTAAATATGAGCATTATGGCAACATATTATCTAGTTAGAATATGTACATTATGTTATGACAGCACATAATCAATTTGAATGTGTACATTATGACAACACACACATTTTGGAAGGTACCTTGTAATACTAGAAAATTATTGATGCTAAAGTTCTCTAGTCAATCAAAGATCATACCAGAATTCTTTAAAGGTCTATAGCGACGATAAAAAGACTGAAATACCCGATGCTTTGAGGTCAGAGTGCCTTATATATAGAGTATATAATGTGAACATTAATTTATAGGGCCTGTCTTACTCCACAATAGGAGGGAGTGAAGTGTATCAAGATCAAAAAACAATGAATTGGATAGAGCGAGGTCACACACATAAATATATACAAGTCAATATACATATTTTATATAAAATTTGTCCAGAAATGCTATCACAGAAGATCTCATAGGATTCTCAATTATTGCTCCTAAAGGTCCGTAATTCATAGTAGAAATTGTAAGGGAGTTATTTTCTTCACCTTGATAAAGATGGGTTTTGTGACTGCATAGTGTTAAAAGTATTACAAGTTATATTTGGTATGAAACACAGTAAAATATGAAAGATCAGTTGAATTTAGTGTTCAGAGATTTGTTCAGCTGAGTCATTTTTCCAGCACACTTGTTGACAAGGTCATTGCTTCTATCTGAAAAGATTACCGTAGGTCTTTTTCTAAGTTTTTTAACTTTCAGTAATTAACAAATAAAACATATTGCATGTGTACAACAAATTAATTTTTGTTTTCTCCCATAAAAGTTACAGTTGGTGATGGTGTGATAGGGACAGCCATGCAGACTTGGTCAAATGACAGCCATATTTAAGGACATTTACAGAGAATGATACTGCCACGTGTCGCATAATGGTCTGAAGGACATGCTTCAATTTTGTATTGTTAAGGTGGGTATCATAGGGAAATGATACAGTTGTCAATAAGTACTTGTTGATTTTGATTGGTATAACCATGTGTTTCTGTCCACATAGAATTACAACAGGGAAGTTTTTGTACAGATTGTAGTTTGACCTATAACTGTTTTAAAACAGCAACTTTTTATACAGATTTCTTTTTCCACACATGAGGAGTTGTTACTAGATTGTTAAAATTCTTTTTCACCTGTTGATGATAAGTATTTCTGAGTTATGAAAGTTTCAAAGGGAGACGAAGACCCAAATTGTGTTGTACAATGTTCCATACCCATGAGTTTGTTGTACAATGTTCCATACCTATGAGTTTGTTGTACAATGTTCCATACCCATGCTGTTGGTCTTTCTAAGGAAGCTCAGAAATCGACAAAGCTGTGCAGTTTTGGTTGTGTCATTGTTTTGGATGACATGTAATGGGCCTCCCATATGTTGTTCAGCAAAGTAATCATTAGCTATTACTTAAAAGGAGTCTCCACATCAAAATGACCCTGGGCAATAAATTCAACTAACATACAAAGGGATTTTGTAATGATATGTGTCAGAATTTTCTACATGCGTATTGATATTTTGAAGTTGATTTAAAACAATTGTTGTAGTTACAGGGTACACATTCTTCTGACTAGATTTATGTCTGTCAGTTTTGAAAAAGAGTTCAATACTTTAAAAAGGTTACGTTTTAATTATATAAGGGTGTTAATAGTGTGACCTTGTGGTGGTGACCTGGTTTTTAGATTGTCAACAGATAACATATGTACTGGTTCATACTTTACAGTCCATTAACTCAGACATACGCATAAAGACAAGAAAGAAAGATTAAACTAATATAGGGGCTAATTAACACACTCAATTAACTCTAAAACAGACTTATGACCAATAAAATATGGTCAAGGCACTTCAACGCATGTCACCAATGAAATCAATTGAATCCAATTACACAACCGAAATACTACATTGTTCATATACTTCTACCCAGTGTGTGTTCAGACTTCTTACAACAAAAAATGCAAAATAAAGGGATTTTAGGTCAACTCACTTGTCTACAGGATTCAACTGTTTAAAACCTACTTGTCGAATATTAACCTTAATAAATCTTTGAATTTGACATGTTACATGCTGTCTTAGATGTGTAAAAGACATTTTAGATGTTCTCTGCTGCAAAGACTTTTATAAAAAACAGTAGGATCATTTAAAGTGAAATGGCATAGCGGAAAAGCCTACTTGAGACAATTTGGTTTGTGTGCCCATTAAAGAAAGTATTTTTCATCTTCAGAACAATTGATATTACACTGTATTGTACTGTGTGGTATTGAGATCGCCAAAATCTCAGTGTCACATGAGAGACAGGATACAGGTCGTATTGGTGGTGACATACAGACTGACAGGGCTTGTCTTTCCTCTAGAACTACTCTGACTGACTGACCACATGGCTGGTCTTTCCTCTAGAACTACTCTGACTGACTGACCACATGGCTGGTCTTTCCTCTAGAACTACTCTGACTGACTGACCACATGGCTGGTCTTTCCTCTAGAACTGACTGACCACATGGCTGGTCTTTCCTCTAGAACTACTCTGACTGACTGACCACATGGCTGGTCTTTCCTCTAGAACTACTCTGACTGACTGACCACATGGCTGGTCTTTCCTCTAGAACTACTCTGACTGACTGACCACATGGCTGGTCTTTCCTCTAGAACTACTCTGACTGACTGACCACATGGCTGGTCTTTCCTCTAGAACTACTCTGACTGACTGACCACATGGCTGGTCTTTCCTCTAGAACTACTCTGACTGACTGACCACATGGCTGGTCTTTCCTCTAGAACTACTCTGACTGACTGACCACATGGCTGGTCTTTCCTCTGGTCTTTCCTCTAGAACTACTCTGACTGACTGACCACATGGCTGGTCTTTCCTCTAGAACTACTCTGACTGACTGACCACATGGCTGGTCTTTCCTCTAGAACTACTTGAACTACTCTGACTGACTGACCACATGGCTGGTCTTTCCTCTAGAACTACTCTGACTGACTGACCACATGGCTGGTCTTTCCTCTAGAACTACTCTGACTGACTGACAACATGGCTGGTCTTTCCTCTAGAACTACTCTGACTGACTGACCACATGGCTGGTCTTTCCTCTAGAACTACTCTGACTGACTGACCACATGGCTGGTCTTTCCTCTAGAACTACTCTGGCTGGTCTTTCCTCTACTACTGACTGACACATGGCTGGTCTTTCCTCTAGAACTACTCTGACTGACTGACCACATGGCTGGTCTTTCCTCTAGAACTACTCTGACTGACTGACCACATGGCTGGTCTTTCCTCTAGAACCTACTCTGACTGACTGACCACATGGCTGGTCTTTCCTCTAGAACTACTCTGACTGACTGACTGACTGACCACATGGCTGGTCTTTCCTCTAGAACTACTCTGACTGACTGACCACATGGCTGGTCTTTCCTCTAGAACTACTCTGACTGACTGACCACATGGCTGGTCTTTCCTCTAGAACTACTCTGACTGACTGACCACATGGCTGGTCTTTCCTCTAGAACTGACTGACTGACTACTCTGACTGACTGACATGGCTGGTCTTTCCTCTAGAACTACTCTGACTGACTGACTGACCACATGGCTGGTCTTTCCTCTAGAACTACTCTGACTGACTGACCACATGGCTGGTCTTTCCTCTAGAACTCTCTGACTGACTGACCACATGGCTGGTCTTTCCTCTAGAACTACTCTGACTGACTGACCACATGGCTGGTCTTTCCTCTAGAACTACTCTGACTGACTGACTGGCTGGTCTTTCCTCTACTACTCTGACTGACTGACCACATGGCTGGTCTTTCCTCTAGAACTACTCTGACTGACTGACCACATGGCTGGTCTTTCCTCTAGAACTACTCTGACTGACTGACCACTGGTCTTTCCTCTAGAACTACTCTGACTGACTGACCACATGGCTGGTCTTTCCTCTAGAACTACTCTGACTGACTGACCACATGGCTGGTCTTTCCTCTAGAACTGACTGACCACATGGCTGGTCTTTCCTCTACTACTCTGACTGACTGACCACATGGCTGGTCTTTCCTCTAGAACTACTCTGACTGACTGACCACATGGCTGGTCTTTCCTCTAGAACTACTCTGACTGACTGACCACATGGCTGGTCTTTCCTCTAGAACTACTCTGACTGACTGACCACATGGCTGGTCTTTCCTCTAGAACTACTCTGACTGGCTGGTCTTTCCTCTACTGACTGACTGACCACATGGCTGGTCTTTCCTCTAGAACTACTCTGACTGACTGACCACATGGACTGGTCTGGTCTTTCCTCTAGAACTACTCTGACTGACTGACCACATGGCTGGTCTTTCCTCTAGACTGACTACATGGCTGACTACTCTGACTGACTGACCACATGGCTGGTCTTTCCTCTAGAACTACTCTGACTGACTGACCACATGGCTGGTCTTTCCTCTAGAACTACTCTGACTGACTGACCACATGGCTGGTCTTTCCTCTACTACTCTGACTGACTGACCACATGGCTGGTCTTTCCTCTAGAACTACTCTGACTGACTGACCACATGGCTGGTCTTTCCTCTAGAACTACTCTGACTGACTGACCACATGGCTGGTCTTTCCTCTAGAACTACTCTGACTGACTGACCACATGGCTGGTCTTTCCTCTAGAACTACTCTGACTGACTGACTGACCACATGGCTGGTCTTTCCTCTAGAACTACTCTGACTGACTGACCACATGGCTGGTCTTTCCTCTAGAACTACTCTGACTGACTGACTGACCACATGGCTGGTCTTTCCTCTAGAACTACTCTGACTGACTGACCACATGGCTGGTCTTTCCTCTAGAACTACTCTGACTGACTGACCACATGGCTGGTCTTTCCTCTAGAACTACTCTGACTGACTGACCACATTCTTCTGTCTTTTTTAGTTCACACTGACCAACATGTCTGTTTGGTACAGAGTCTAGTTTGATGTACATTGCCCATCATCCATGCATACTTTTAAGAATACTTTTTAACTTTCACAGCATTCTAAGATGATTTTAAACATTTTTAATTTTCATTCATAGACATGAACAAGTAAAATGCTGATATACAACCGGGTAATAGGTTATAGTGAAGTTTTTGTTAACGCTAATTTAGCATTTACAATTGGGACAAACCTTGTCAACAATTGTGATATAAAAAGAACTGTCTAAACAAGTTTGTAGGAAAACATGTCTGGCACAATGACCTGAAATAGAACCTGGTGCACTTTTGTTACTGCTACAACAGGCAGGAAACTTTTTGACATTTTATTGTATAACAGTACACCAGATTTTATAGATAGCACCAGAAAAATAATTCCTTTTATGTAATTCTGAAAACAAGTTTAGAAATGCCAAACCATGACAGTCTACATAATGATATTCATTGGACGGAACAAGTACTGAAATTTTATGTCAACAGACAGCCTATACAATGGTCTAATGAGAGTAAAACAGAAGAATATTTCAGATTCATTCTTGTTATTGTTGATTTGACTACTGTTTCATAGCAAACTACAGTTCATCCTCAGTTAATGCTCAAGGCTTTCAATGGTAGTGAAGTAGCTAAACTACATCTTATCAACTCATATTATTGTCAATGATAGGTCAGTGTGAATCAATAAAACAAAGGTTCATGAAAATTGTGTGTACAAGACAGACCAGCAACTTACTTTTACCATTACCACAAACGACCTTGGACTTGTTACTAATGCTGTCACTGATTATTTCTCTGCTACAAACGACCTTGGACTTGTTGCTAATGCTGTCACTGATTATTTCTCTGCTACAAACGACCTTGGACTTGTTACTAATGCTGTCACTGATTATTTCTCTGCTACAAATGACCTTGGACTTGTTACTAATGCTGTCACTGATTATTTCTCTGCTACAAACGACCTTGGACTTGTTACTAATGCTGTCACTGATTATTTTTCTGCTACAAACGACCTTGGACTTGTTACTAATGCTGTCACTGATTATTTTTCTGCTACAAACGACCTTGGACTTGTTACTAATGCTGTCACTGATTATTTTTCTGCTACAAACGACCTTGGACTTGTTACTAATGCTGTCACTGATTATTTCTCTGCTACAAACGACCTTGGACTTGTTTCTAATGCTGTCACTGATTATTTCTCTGCTACAAACGACCTTGGACTTGTTACTAATGCTGTCACTGATTATTTTTCTGCTACAAACGACCTTGGACTTGTTACTAATGCTGTCACTGATTATTTTTCTGCTACAAACGACCTTGGACTTGTTACTAATGCTGTCACTGATTATTTCTCTGCTACAAACGACCTTGGACTTGTTACTAATGCTGTCACTGATTATTTCTCTGCTACAAACGACCTTGGACTTGTTACTAATGCTGTCACTGATTATTTCTCTGCTACAAACGACCTTGGACTTGTTTCTAATGCTGTCACTGATTATTTCTCTGCTACAAACGACCTTGGACTTGTTTCTAATGCTGTCACTGATTACTTCTCTGCTACAAACGACCTTGGACTTGTTTCTAATGCTGTCACTGATTACTTCTCTGCTACAAACGACCTTGGACTTGTTTCTAATGCTGTCACTGATTACTTCTCTGCTACAAACGACCTTGGACTTGTTACTAATGCTGTCACTGATTATTTCTCTGCTACAAACGACCTTGGACTTGTTTCTAATGCTGTCACTGATTATTTCTCTGCTACAAATGACCTTGGACTTGTTTCTAATGCTGTCACTGATTATTTCTCTGCTACAAACGACCTTGGACTTGTTACTAATGCTGTCACTGATTACTTCTCTGCTACAAACGACCTTGGACTTGTTACTAATGCTGTCACTGATTATTTCTCTGCTACAAATGACCTTGGACTTGTTTCTAATGCTGTCACTGATTATTTCTCTGCTACAAATGACCTTGGACTTGTTTCTAATGCTGTCACTGATTATTTCTCTGCTACAAATGACCTTGGACTTGTTTCTAATGCTGTCACTGATTACTTCTCTGCTACAAACGACCTGGGACTTGTTATTGATGCTGCTACTGATTTGTAAGCTTTACGTACCCTCACAAGTATGTTCTTTGTAAAACTTCAGGCATTTGATGTCATTCTATCTGTCTTTTATAGAAACTTTAGAGGAACTTGCTTATTTACTTACAGAATGTTTTTGCCTTGGTTTTTTTTTAACAATGAAATTCATTTAAATCTCCAATATCTATTTCTCTTACAAATGAAAAAGAATAATTACAATAGTCTATTGTAGGAAAATTGTAATTGAAAAAAAAACAGTTATTTCCTTAGTAATACATACCTACCAGTAAAATAGACATATGTGGTAATGAGAAAGATGCTGAAACTAGTGTATCTGGCTCTGCATATGTACCTAATGGTATTCTGTAAGGTTTGTGTTATACTTTCTCTTCACATAGTCAAGGTTTATAGACTTCTAAAAATATTCACTATTTTCCTTATACATAAAAAGGAATCTAAAGTTATTGCTGGTTACATAGTAAATGTTTTAATGCTGGAACCTACCAGAGAGCTTACCACCAAAGACCAGACCTCATTAATGGCTGTCCTAGTGATACAATGACATTTACAGTCCTCACAATAAACATTATCAGCTTTCTACATCTCCTAGTTATGTAGGTTTTTTTCACAACTGTCATAATTTCAATAGAACAAGTGAAAAGAAATGTCTCTGATTGTGTGACCAAATTTTATCTCCAGCAAGTTTGAAGGGAGAAGATTTATGTGAAAGGCACTCCAAAATTCTTGAATGAAATTTGCTGAATGGCAGTGTCAATCAGAACACAATAAGAGTTTCTTGATTAAAATATTAAAGCAGTACTTGATTTGTAGGTAGTCTTAATGTTAGTATTAACATGATAGTTGGTTGTTCTGATAAGCTAGAACAAAAGCCATTGGTGTGTTCAGGGTTGTCTGACACCTTGTACATCAAGCTCTAGGCCTCTCTTGTTAAAGCTTTAAGGTTTAATCTTGCATACCCTGATTTTTTCTGATTCCAAAGCATGATAAGCTGGAAGGAAAAAACAATTTAACTTTAAAGGAATTTAGCCATAATGCATTAACTGTAAAGGAGTTTGTAAGAGAACAGCATGGTGAGACTTTTTATATTTATTTCAATTAGCTCTATGTGTTTGATCAGATTTAATGGTGGATTGTTAAATACATACTTCCTACTTTCATCCACAATTGTTATAATATTGAGATCAACTTTGATATAGGATTTCTACAGAAAATATACAACAGTACTGAGTATCTGTTTTGTAATTGTAGCACCAATTAATCCAGTTAAGAACGTGTAGAGCTTATCCTTATTTTCATTTGTCATATGTACATGTGTCACAAGTTCTAACGTACAGCCTGTGAGGATGCATGATGTACACATGAAGTACAGCAGTGTAGCTAAATCAGTACATACAACACTCAGCTTTCCAGTGATAGTGTTGTAACAACACTACAATCACTGCCTAATTTTTGTTTGGCTCTAATATTTAAAAAAGCTGGTGTCTCTGGGATGTCAGTTGTGATGTAATACCTGCAGGTGCTTGTTACAGAATGTGGGCATGTTATTTACTCAAAATACTGTCATGTTTTGTGGTACAGTGGAAAGTGTAATATAGACATGCTGAATATGTTTTCTACAACTACAGCACACTGTGATTTTATGTTCTTCGTAGTTACAGACAGAAAAAGTCTATCCATAACATCCATAATGATGTGCTGAATGTGAAGAGAACCTATACGCAATGTTATCGTCATAAATATTTCAAATTGATTTAATACCCCTAAGATAAAATAAAATGATCTTATAATCAAGTGTCCATCCGGTGTTATGACATGGACTGTGACAAGTGAAGTGGTTAGTAATAATATAGAAACTTGTCTGGTCTCTACATCCTCTCATTAGTGACTGGCCAATGGCAGTCCTGCTCATGGAATAATCAAATCCAGACCAGAAACTATTGTGTAACTGTAGCAAAACCATCATTGCATTGTTATGTGTTGAAGATGATGATGTGACATTTTAAACAGGTATTGACCTTTAACAGTTTCAGTTTAGAGCTCATGTTGATGCTATTTCAGGACATAAGATAAAATGATATGATAATGATATATAAAAAATCTCTTTGATAACAACGTTATTGATAGTATATCTGATTTGTCTTAAACAGAATCACTGTAGTAGTAAGCTGTACTCTAGCCAATAGCATTTTTCCACATTATTTTTGCTACCTTAATATGAAAGATCCTTCCAAGTTTTGGTAAGCATTTGATTTTCTGTACTCTTGGACCTAGGAATACCAAACTTGCATACTTACAATAAATAATAGTTGGATCTTTTTCTTTCACAGATACCTGCTGGATAATCACTGGGAATTATAGAACTGGAACAACTCAAATTATTTCAAATTCAACAAAAGATTTCAGGATGGATAAATCAAGGACATTGGGATCAACAGACAAACTTTGTTACTTTGATCTGTTTCTGTTGGTCTCCATTCTCTGTGCTATATTACCTTATTCAGGTGCTATGATAGTAACAACATGTGGAAATTTACGTCCCAAAGGTAAGTCATATTTAACTTTGTTCTTAAATCCTTCAACACATTTTTTTCATTTGTTTACTCTGATATTGTCCTTTTGTTAAGTGTATATATTTATCATGCTGATGAGTAGATAATTAAGATTATGATCACAAGGAACACAAGTCAATTCTAGTCCATTCTTACCATCTAAGTCTCTGTCATGTTTGTTACATATGGATTTCCTTATGGTATACATCCTTACGATCTAAGTCTCTGTCATGTTTGTTACATATGGATTTCCTTATGGTATACATCCTTACCATCTAAGTCTTTGTCATGTTTGTTACATATGGATTTCCTTATGGTATTCATCCTTACGATCTAAGTCTCTGTCATGTTTGTTACATATGGATTTCCTTATGGTATTCATCCTTACTATCTAAGTCTCTGTCATGTTTGTTACATATGGATTTCCTTATGGTATTCATCCTTACTATCTAAGTCTTTGTTATGTTTGTTACATATGGATTTCCTTATGGTATTCATCCTTACAATCTAAGTCTTTGTCATGTTTGTTACATATGGATTTCCTTATGGTATTCATCCTTACAATCTAAGTCTTTGTCTTGTTTGTTACATATGGATTTCCTTATGGTATTCATCCTTACAATCTAAGTCTTTGTCATGTTTGTTACATATACTATACTATTACTTGACACTTTTGGATGCTTACATACATACTTAAGTACATCACACTATAACACTTCAGAAATGTCAAAATAATATGCTTGTAACACATATGCTCTTGATATTTTTATGTTCACTTAGTAACACATAAAAAAATTCCAACATTTTTTTGTAAAATGGGACCATTATCCCCTCCAAGGGGAGCATTTGACTTCAGTACCAGTACAATTCTGTTTTCTTTGAGAGGTTTCCTATCTGTTGTAAAAGTGGCTGTGGGTTTGGGATTGGAGATTTGTGCACCCTTGGTGTGTTTCCGGTCTTATTTCATCGTGTAGTCTACCAAAATAAGCTAAATTTATCATCGAAAAAAAGATAAAGGGACCATATAGATTATAGTCTGTAAAAGTGATTGGGCGAAAGTCGTCTTCATTGCCTGTATCTTAGCTGACACAAAATTATCAATGCTTGTTAGTATAAAATGTCACCTGTAGGTTCCATTTCATTGCCTGATTTTAAATTTTGAAATATCTCTAAAATGTCAGGTTTTAAGTGTAATAAAGTACAAATATTGTATGACCATTTCACCCTAGTAGCATATATCTGCTTTAAGTACGCCCGATGTAGAGGATAAACTGTATCTTTATCAGATATATGAGGACATGAAAGGTTCATCTTTAAGTGGTTCTAAATACAAGGATGATGGTATCAAAATATACGGTAACACATATATATTCATACGTACCCAAGTCAACTCTTCACCGAGTTTTAAGGGCAGGCAAACTCCTCAAATGTCCTGAACTATGTGTGTGGTTTTGATTTGATAGTTTTTGTATAAAGTTGCAGTAAAAACAATGTCTAGGTATCATTCAAATGCAAATCATGTGACTAATCTCCCTGTAGGCCCAGCCTGGTACATGGCAACTGGTAATGATAGCATGCTCAAACATGGAGGATGAGGATTCTTGGGAACGGAAATTGCTGATTATTGCTTAACCTTCTGTAATACTTTGAATTTGTGATGGATTTTGTAAATGTCAGCGAGGGAATTACGAAGGATGAGACATGGAAATGAAATGGTTAAGGAGTGCCTATAGCTGTATATATAGTTTAAAGTGTTATCCAAACACTTAGTAATTGTTGGTTTATTCTTAACAGCATATTGTTGACCTTATCCAAAGAGATGTTTAACTGTCTTATTTCTGTAGGTTACTTGATTCTGTATTTGCTCTGAAGACTAATACTTTATCTTTTGGAGGTTATTTAAATGTAAATTTTCTTTGATATGTAGAATTGATGACCAAGTTTAAAGTATTTCAATTACATCTTGTTTCTTACTTTTTAAACACTTTACAAAGGAGATGCTTTTTATACACTTTTTAAATGAGGTGTTTATGCAATGCTTAACATTCTGTGTGGCAATACTTATTAAATCAGATATTAAGCAAACTTGATGAGCCAAAAGGTATATTCAAATACCATCTGATAAGGCGACATTTTGCTGATTGGAAATGACAATGTATTAATTAATTTAATGCTATTAAATCAAGAATTCTTGAAACAGACTAGTCACTACATACATCTGTATTGGGTATATGATATGTATCGGTGCATATTAAGTGGCCACAGTCTTTGGCCTTGTTCATGCTCCTAATCATTGTAGGTGCCAAAGCCATAATTGAATTCCAGTTAGAAGAATTAAATTACTGATACCTCTGCTGTAAACCATAATCATATTTCAAAATTTTGTAATGAGTTTTTTTTTTTTTTAAGAATCTTGTGTTTTTATGACAGTCATATTATAAGGTCATATTTTGTTTTGGAAGATAATGGTTTGTATCATGATTTTTTATCAAAATTTTTCATCAAAAGGTAATTACATGCAAATTTTTCTGAACAGAATAATAAAGTGTATATGCCACACCTGAGAACTCCTGTAACACCCTGATCCATGTGATAAGGGATCAGTAATTGGCACCACTTATGCATGAACATGCACCAGATCTGCATATTGCCTAACTGATTTAACATGGATGCACTTGGTAAACTTTGACCTTTATGTACCCAAAGCCTCAGTTGAATAAACCAGATTTAACAGAAATGATGTAACTAACACTGATTAGATTGACCAGATACATTTATTTACCGTATAAAACAAAATACATTGGTATGTTGTGGTGATATCAAGTTTAGGGTTCTATTGTGTAATGAACAGGATGGTGGAATATTTGTGTGTGTATTTGATCATGTCTGATATTCACTGAGTTATAACATAAAGCCTGCATGATGCTATGTATGATGTTATCAAACTGTAGCTATACTTGTGATGTTTAGATCATGATTTATGGCATAGACATGGATGTAAAGCTGTGGGCAGGATTATATAATAGATGTCAGATTAGAAACGTTGATAGTAGTTATCTCCCTATCCGGGTATCTAATTAAGCCGATGCTCTAGTGAGAGTGCCATGTTTAACACCTGACATAAATCATTTACATTCCTAGACTATAAGGATTGTACATGACTACATAGTCACCTACCACCCCTTTAACTCACACCCCTGTACATAGGTTTACCGTTAGTAATAAACATTGTGGTTTTGTGGTCTACGCTCAAATATTTCATACTGTTGTACATGGCAGATCTCTCAGTTTTCTAGGTCATCACCTGATACTTCTTTCAGTGATATTAGGAATGAACTTTTAGTAAGAAGTTGAAATTCTCGTCTGTTAACTTGTTTTGACCTTAGTTGTTATTCTACAACTACAAAATTGTACAAGAATACCAGGGTAGATAGAAGTCAGTCTATCCTGAATTCTACTAAATACCTACAGGGAAATTGAACAGGGAAGTAATGAGTGATTTCAGTGTACATGCTGCTGTGTTAGTCAGCAGTAAAGGATATAAGCTTTTCCTTATTGACGTCTTTTGGTACTACCCAATGTTTTGATTGGTCAAAAAATCATGTATCATTAAATCACATGTTACATTATACACTTAAGTGATCATTAAAACATACGTACATGTCATCTTTTCCTTTAAAACTCTTAAGTTATTTTATACATGTGTATACAAAATTATGTTGTCTTTTATTTTATGAAGGATGGAAGGATTGCCCTTTCATACTACATAAAGTTGTTTACTAATTGAAATATACTTGATAGCCATGAGATGTTTTGTGTACAAATTTCACGGTGTTGAATATCTTACACTACTTATGTATTAAAGTAGGTTACTCTGACCTACATTTTGACCCGTGACCTACTTCAAAGAAGATTGACTATGCCCTGCCTCTTACACTACTTATGTATTAAAGTAGGTTACTCTGACCTACATTTTGATCTGTGACCTACATCTATATTCTACACAATTTGTCACTTGAACTTCATACATTAATCAGTAGGATTCTTTCACTTAGGGCATAGATTTACTCGCAGATAAAGAAATTTTGCACATAATTTCACATTCGATAGCTCACTGTTATTCACCAAATAGTAATGTTTTAATTATATTAGATCCAAAAAATGATTTTGATATTTTCAAATACTGAACAAAAGTAACTAAATATCATGTGATTCTCTCATCATACTAGATTAAATCAGGCTCTGATCTGGCCAATATCAGGTTAACCAGATTATAAGACTTCAGAGAAATCTGTCAGAAGTATGATTTCTAGTGCTCGTTGTTCTATTCACTATTGTAAAGTCTTCAGTATTGACTTGCCCATCCTGACATGTCTACCAAGCAGGAAATATTCCCCCTTCTGACCATTTTAGTGAAATTTGGAAGATGCTCCAGATACCAACATTATTTTTATAAAAAAAGTGAGACATATGCAATTTTTTGACAAATGTCTTTAGAAGTATAATGAATGTTAGGTAAGTGTGTAAGCTATTTTGATGACCATCTGTATTAATATATTACATGTCTCTTTCTACATGTCCTCAAAAAACATCATATACAGTGGAGAGGAATTTTCGAAGGAAAAATGTTAATTAGCTATTAGTGTTATGGGTAATACAGTAACAATGCCTGTCATGTGATCTGGAGGACTCATTGAGTGTGTCCCAGACATGCACTCAGCACACATGTTATCACTTATGAATGCATAGAGGGATGGAGGTGAGGATATCTGCCTACAAAATGACACAACCTGATTATATATAGGCTATACTGCAGTAATGGTACAGTAATGGTAAAGAACAGAGCAGATCTGATGAGTAAATATGGTGTTGATAAAGAGCAGAGAGAATATGGTGTTGATAAAGAGCAGAGAGAATATGGTATTGATAAAGTGCAGGGTGAATATGGTATTGATACAGAGCAGAGAGAATATGGTGTTGATAAAGAGCAGGGT